CCTCCGCCCCTAGCATATCGAAGTCCTCGTCCATTTTCTCGAAAGCGCGAGATGAAAAATTCAACGATTTGAAAGCGTATTACAAGATTCTGAGATTGAAGAAAATTAGGGAAAAGTGAGAGTGAGGGAGACGAGGCTTTTATGGTGTTATTTTTTAGAGTTCTAGAGGCTTCTACAAGGTTGTTGGGCTGCAGCGCGAGGTTTTACTTACATGCTCCCTTGCCCAAAGGGTGCTTATTGTCCACTTGCAAAACTCAATAACGAATCTGGGATATGTGAGCCGTAAGGTCATATTCAAGGCCTAAATTGGGTCGAGTTTTGGATTTTCAATGTAGAGTGGATGATGAGAGAGAGAGATCTGCGAAGGTTTTTCCGAAACAGCTCAATGAGGGAGATTCTTAGTTTCTGCAAATTGACGTAGGGGTTTAATGAAAAAAAAATGAAAGAGAACCGACATAGCTTTTCGTGTCGTTTCCCATAAACGGGGCCAAATGTTGATGCACAAAACCGGAGGTCTTGGAACAACGTAAATCCGACCAAAAATTTTCCTAGGCCTCCTCTTCTTTGGGCCTAATAACTTTCATAACAAATATATATGAATGAGGAGTTTCAGGCTACCACTTAGAAAGGAAAATGGTGAAGTTTTGTTACTTTAGAAACTTGGCTAATAGCAAGACATCTCCTTCGTCAACTCCATCGACTGAAGACTTGGGGGACTCCTACCATATGCTACTGCACCTTGATACTCGGAAGTCTCATAACCACTCAGTGACTTGGATTTTTCAAGTCTCCAACCGAAAAGTTTTCCTCACTCTGGAAATTAAGGGAACACTACCTCAACCTACATGTTTCACTCACAAAGCTTCAACATACAAGCTTCAACAAAAGAAAAAAAATCAAAGAACTTAGAGAATAAGGCTTTGGTGTATTTAACACAATACGTTGAAATGAAGCAAAGCTTATTTATTGATATATCTGATAAGTTACAAATATGTACATATACATGAGTCAAAATAAACAAACAAGATGGAGCCTTCACAAAGGTTGCTTAGGAGAAGTCTCAGCAGTCGACAGAGCCTCAGAAAGGGAAGGCACCGAAGGGTGATCATTCAGAGCCTCAGTACTGGACAGAACCCCAGAAGGAGGAGGCATCAGAGGTTGATCATTTGGAACTTCATTACGCAGTACAACCCCAGAAGACGAAGGCAATAAATGCCTTTGGAACAAACCCACAAACCTCTGATGATCAAGTAAAATCTGACCATCAGATTCCTGCATTTGGTCAAGCTTCCTCTTCATGTTTGTAGCATAGTCATGTGCGAGCCTGTGCAACTGTTATTCTCATACTTGAGCCCTCTAATATCCTGTTTGAGACTTATCACTTCAGCTGCCAATGATTCAACCTGGCGGGTTCGAGCAAATAGGCGTTGGGCCATATTAGACACAGAACCTGCACACTGAACACTGAGAGTCAGAGAATCCTTAACAGCCAACTAATCAGACCGTTTAGAAAGTAGTCTGTTATCTTCGGGAGTGAGAAGGTTCCTGACCACCACCGCAGCAGTCATATCATTCTTCATCACAGAGTCCCCAACGGTAAGAGGACCAGTAGGGGATAAGAAGGATGGGCACTATATGTTGTCATGAAGAGGCATGGCTGCCTCTTCACCAAAGTTCGAGTCAAAACGACGGTCGGATGAGCCAGACATTTCTAGAAATGATGAAGGAGAAATAAGGTCCAATAAATCTCTGAAGTACGAAAATAAGGGGGAAATGCCTACAAGCAATAACTCTCTGAACGTACTTCTTGCACACAATTGGTGCCCCTATAAAAGAAAGGACAACAGGGTCGTTGGTTCAAAAATCGAAGAGGCACCACTCTTCGGATTTCAAAGAGGCATTATTCTCCACACGCAACATCAGCTCATCAGGTACCACATATAACTTTACCAAAGATCTCTGACAAAGTTTAGACACATAAATTTTGAAGGTCCAACTACCCTACTATTACCCACAAAGGTAAAGGAACAACACCACTGCTTGATAACTGGAAAGTCCCTATGTGTGTCAACATCCGTGCTCCGTGGCAAGGCACACTGACAAAAATGCCCAATCTTTACTCACATCGAGAAAACACTCCCAACATGATTACTTGCTCAAAAATCGAAGAGTCACCACTCCCTGAATCTCGAGAGCCAAACTCTCACCAGGATTGCTTTCTCAAAAATGGAAGAGTCACCGCTATCCAACTCTCGAGAGCCAGACTCACAACAGGGTTACTTTTTCAAAAATCGAAGAGGCACAGCTTTCCAAATCTCGAGAGCCAAACTCCCAACATGATTTGTTTCTCAAAAATTAAAGAGGCATCGCTCTCCGAATCTCGAAAGCCAGACTCCCAATAAGATTGCTTTCTCAAAAATCGAAGAGGCACCGCTCTCCGAATCTCGAAAGCCAGACTCCCAATAAGATTGCTTTCTCAAAAATCGAAGAGGCACCACTCTCCGAATCTCAAGAGCCAGACTCCCAACAAGATTACTTTCTTAAAAATCAAAGAGGCACCGTTCTCCGAATCTCGAGAGTCAGATCCCCAACTGGATTGCTTGTTCGAAAACCGAAGAGGCACCACTCTCTAAACTTTGAGAGCCAGATTTCCTTGGATAAAGCTTATCTGCAATCTTCACATGCAACATCAGCTTTCCAGATACCACATACCACTTTTTCAAAGTGCTTTGACAAAGTTAAAACACGTGAATCTTACGGTTCCCACTACATTGCTATGACCGAGAAAGGTAAAGGAACAGCGTTACTACTCGCTGTTAGGACAATTCCTATATATGTCGACCTTCATCCTCCATAGCCAGGCAAAGTTGCAAATAAAAAAATGCTCAACTTTTCATCACATCCGAGAGGGCACTCTCAGTAGAGTCTCTCAAAATACTCAGCTTATTTTCCCCTCGATAATACCTCTGCAAACAAGCCACACCAGAGCCAGAGTATCTCATATCATCAGGGTTAAAAGTTAGAGTATCTCATATCATGTTTTTTCCCTATCTTTTCCTTTTGCCTTGTTCTTACCTACAAAACAATGAGAAAGAGAGCAATCAGTCAGCACTTGGAATCAAGCTTCCAGTCAGGAACTGACTATCTGGAGCTCCTTACCTGATTACTTACTTGGCATTGCTCTCGAGTACTCATCTTCAACATCTTATGCTTCCAGAAAAGATACCACATCTGCCTGAAGAACAGATAGGGTAAGTGAGAAAGATACAAGGAAGCATATGGAGACAAGCGCAACAGAACACGTGCCGATTCATCTATTACTTTGTCAACAGCAAAAGTATCTCATATCATCAAGGTCGAACGCACTCTTGATTTGATGGACTTGTTTTGACCCTCAAATTCTTGAGTCGGCCTTATACTCTTGAGGAAACTAGAAAACCCTTCAGCCCAGTTCAAGAATAAGCCTGTGGAAAGTTACTTCTTCAAAAGCAAAAGTATCTTATATCATCTCTTCTCATTTTTCTTCTATTTATCCTTCATGCTGCCTGCAAGATAAGGAGAATGAGAACAATCAGCCGGAACTCGAAATCAAACTTCTAATCTGGGACTGATTGCTTGGAGCTCTGATTGATTACCTTGTCTGTCACCTCTTTTGGCAGATCTCCTAGCTCGGCGACTTGGGGGACTCCTACTACATGGTTTGTATCGCGCTTGACCAAGCCTGAAACTACAAGTAAGCTTCAAGTGAAATTAATACATTACCTTGTGCATCTTCACCGATTAAAGATACCACCCCTGGATGGAGGAAGAGTACTTCCAGAGAAGATGCCACATCTACATATGAGACAGATAAGGCAAGTGAAGACGATACCACACTTCGGTGCTTAGAAGTTTCGTGATTACTCAGCGGCTTGGATCTTGCAAGTCCCCAACCGAGAAGCTTCCCTCATTCGGGAACTTAGGGGAGCACTGTTTGTACCATACTTGACCAATCCCGAAACTACTGATCACCGGTCAACGTTATACTATCAAGGACCCAGAAGAGTTTCCCTACAACCAGGAGGCCAATCACAGTGCAACACGTGTCGATATCAGAAACCAATCACAGCGCGACACGTGTCAACATCAGAAGCCAATCACAACACGACACGTGTCAATGTCAGAATAAAGCGAGAAACTCTTCTATAAAAGGAGATCATTCTCCCACAATATTTCGTAATGTCATTTGTACTAAATCATTCACTTGTACTCACTAAAGGAGAGCTTGAACCTATGTACTTGTGTAAACCTTCACAATTAATGAGAACTCCTCTACTCTGTGGACGTAGCCAATCTGAGTGAACCACGTACATCTTGTGTTTGTTTCCCTATCTCTATCCATTTACATACTTATCCACACTAGTGACCGGAGCAATCTAGCGAAGGTCACAAACTTAACATTTTCTGTTGCACCAAAGTCCTCCCTCATTTTGTGCATCAACAAAGTCTATTGAGGCCATGGTTGGAATTTTAAAATTTGGGAACTTTAACGAAAAGCTCCCAGTACTGTTCACTTTAACGAAATACCACATTTTTACACTAAAAAGTCAATTTTGGTACTATTCATTTTACCCTTTATTTTGTCCTTATCATTAAAACTCAAAGTTTTCATGCCCTTTTCATTAGTTTTCCTTAAAATTTTGGTTTGCTTGTTTTTGGGTTAGGTTTGTTGAGGTTTGAGTTTTTGTCTCTCCTTGAAATGATTCAAAACTAGGGAAGTTCTATGAAATGTATTTTGTGTTTTAGTGTACAAAGATTTGGTGACCATGTATTGCTAATTTAAAAGTGTGGGGCTAATGCTGGAGCTCCATCATGTTTATATGTTTATGAACTTAGCAGGACTATGAATTTGTTGTTTATCTTTCTCTAGGGTTAGAGAATGCCTCATTTCGGCGATCAATCCCTCAACCTCATCGCCCATATATGCCGCAAAGCGAATGAAGTAGCGCACTTTCTAGCCCGCTCGACACTTCTTTGTAATGGTTTTTTGGTCTTGGTCTGAAGAACCTCCTGATCTCTCTTCTGTGTATATCTCTTCGACCATTTGGTCTTTCAATGAAACACTGCTGATTTTCAAAAAAATAAAAAATAAATAAAATTCGGTAATCGTTGAAGATTGGAGGTTGCATTGAGCGTTTCTCACCCTCGACTTTGTCACATTGATATCGCGATCGCATACATTATCTGACATGGACGCAGTATATATCATTGTTGTCGGCGGAAATATAGGGGAAACCATGGCTGTAGCTGTGAAATCTACTGAAGAATCAACAAAACAGAATAAACCTTTAACAAGACAGAGGCAAGTGGTTGTGACAGGAACGAGTGTGGTGACCCTACGCGGTCATGATTCTGATGTTTTCTACAATAATTTGCTTGAGGGAGTTCGTGGCATTAGTCATTAGTGAGATAGAAGCTTTTGATTGCACCCAATTTCCAGCAGTAGAAGTCATGGAGACGTTAGATAAGGCAAAATGTGTGGTTTTCATTGGCTCAACAATGGGTGGCATGAAGGTAAGCCCAGTGTTCTGTGCCTTAATATTATGTACACTTTTTGCGGAACGTTGAAAGATCTTTCTACCGGTTTGTCTTCAATTTGATGTTTTTAGCAAGCATGGTTTATAGTTTGTAATCCTCCAAATGTCATTTTTGGTGGAGATGCACGAAGACTAGTTTCTCTGATTTCAGAACTGGACTTGTTTATGTTCTTTATCTGTTAATTTAAGACAGTGTATCAGTACCACAAAATCTGATTTCAGAACTGGATTTTTTTGTGGAGATCCGCAAAATCTGATTTTGGGACAAGATCTGATGTGTTTTTCATCACTTCAGTCATGTTTGATAAATCCATTTTGTGTTTTGATATTGAAGCTTTACAGTTTTCCTATAAGAAGGTGAACCCTTTCTCTGTACCTTTGCAACCACAAATATGGCTGCCATGCTCGCAATGGATCTTGTGAGATTATAATATATTCGATGCAATACTCTTACAATTCGTGATGGCTGCTGATTTTGTACTTGTCCTTTTAACTGATATTTATTCTTACACTTGCAGGGTTGGATGGTCCCAAACTATTCAACCTCTACTGCTTGTGCTACAAGCAGCTTCTGTACTTTGAATTCGGCAAATCATATCATTAAAGCCAAAGCAGTAAGTATTCCTACAAGCAGCTTCTGTACTTTTAAGTATATTATAATAACTGATATACAATTTTCTTTGAAATCTTACGCAGGACCTTATGCTCTGTGGTGGTTCAGATTAAGTGATGATACCTCTTGGTATTGCTCCCATTCTTTGCAAATGTTATTTCTTAGTTTTACTTGGATTTGCACGTACAATAATCTTGTTCTTGCAATTATTGGAGGAATGGGAGGCTTTGTGGCAAGCAGAGCACTGACACAAAGAAACAATGATCCGACCAAAGCATCACGCCCTTGGGATAGTGTAATGCGTCCAATAACTATGCTAGATTCATTTATTCTTTTATTTCCACTGTGATGGCTTTGTTAGGAGGGAAGGAGCTGGCGTTTTGCCTCCGGAAGAGTTAGAACATGCTATGGTATTTTCTAAATCTATGACCTTGGCAATGGCAATTGGGTGTCTGTCTGGATATCCTTTTTTTTCTGTTAAGGTTGTAGGTGCAATGTCTGTAGGGACGTTCTGTATCCTGTGGTTCCCTCAAGCTCTATGGTCTCACAAACACGTTTTCTAATCATTCATCTGTATCTCACTATGCAATATGGTGTTTTTTTTATTAATGTCCTTGGAAACAGGGGCCGGGGTTATTCTCTGCATTGAAAAGGCTTTAGAACAGTCTGGGATGTCTAGGGAAGATGTTAATTACATTAATGTACATGCTACATCCACACCGGCCGGAGATCTCAAGGAGTATAATGCACTCATTCATTGTTTTGGCCAGAATCCTGATGTAACAACAATACATTGTTGACTTGTATTAGGATTCCTATAATTGTGGGATTCCTACTGTAATTGGTTTCCTAGTTTAGGATATAATTATTCTTTCCCTTATTCTTTCCCATATCTGTATAGGGTTGTATATATACCTTGTTTTGATATGAAATCAAAATATAATTGAAAGGCATTCTTTCTTCTTGGCACCAGAGCCGGGTTAGAAAAACACTGAACCCTAATTTTTTTTTTTTCCTGCCGTGTACCTGATCCATTGCAGCGAGCAACCTTAGGGTTGTTGCTGCCCGTTCCCTGACTGATTGCAGCGAGCACCAGAGAAGGTGTTGCTGCCCTGACCGATTGCAGCGAGCACCAGATAGGGTGTTGCTGCCCTGTTGATTTGTCCAACGCGTTCTAGGTCCCATCACCGCTGCTGTTTTTTTTCTCTGCCTAGTTTGTGTCAGTCAACACCGAAGCAACAGAGAGATGGCTGAAGAAAAGGGGGCTGGTTCACAGGTTGTTTCAGTGGCTGCTCCAATTATGGTGCAGTCAGAGAATTCAAGCTTTAATATTGGTATGGTTTTGGATGAAAAGAACTATGATTTATGGGCTCCCCTCATTCAAATTCATATTGTTGGAAGGAAGAAGATGGGATATCTTCGTGGGTCTATCAAGGCACCTAGCGAAGACGATCCTAAATATGATGGTTGGTTTTCTGAAGATCAAAAAATTAAGAGTTGGCTTTTGTCTTCAATGAAGCCCGAGATTATGAAACGGTACATTCGGTTGTCTACATCGAAGGAGATTTGGGACTCCTTGAAGGCAGCCTACTTTGATGAGAATGACGAGGCTAGAATTTATTCGTTGAATCAGAAGGCATCCCAACTACGTCAGAATGGCCGACCCTTAGCTACCTATTTTGGGGAGCTCACTGAGATCTTCCAAGAATTGGATCACTTTAATAAAGTATCCATGGAGTGTGAGAATGACATCAAAGTGTTTCAGAAATCCACTGAGAGACAACGGGTCTATGTGTTTCTCGGTGGTCTCGATGATGGGTTTGATCAGGTGCGTGGAGAAGTGCTGCGGAAGGATCCCCCACTTGGCCTGCAGGCTTCTTATGCCTATGTTCGTCGAGAAGCCGATCGAAAGGAAGCAATGAAGACAGAGGTTGACAAGGGGGAGTCTGTTGCCATGGCAGCAAGGGCCCGTGGATCATCTAGTGGGTCGAACCGAGAAGGGGTACAAAACCGGCCTGGATCAACTCAGCCGAGCCAGACAAGCCGGGATCGTCCACAAGGTAAGTGCCCACACTGTGGCTTAACGGGACACTACAAGAGTCGTTGTTTTGAGCTGATTGGATATCCCGAGAATTGGGATAAGACCCGTGATCCTCGGTGCAACAAATCTCGAGCCTCCATTGCTGAAACCAAGAATGATTCGGATCAGATAGCGGACAAGGCATCTGCCATGATAGCTGCGGCAGGAAGTGATGGTAAGGCACTCAGTACTTCTACTTCTGTTATGAATAATACATGGATAATTGATTCCGGAGCTACTGAACATATGACTTGTGATTCTAGACAGGTTCCATCACTAAAAACATCCACACAAACCGAGGTCAATGTTACTAATGGTAATGCCGTCCCTGTTATTGGGGAAGGTGCTGTTTCCCTTTCCGATACCATGAAACTTGACACTGTTCTTGTGGTTCCCTCTCTAAATTATAATTTGTTGTCCGTTGCTCAAATAACCCTTGCCTTACATTGTTTGGTTATTTTTTGGCCCTATTTTTGTGTTTTTAAGGACATCCAGACGCGGAAGATGATTGGTTATGGTATTAGAAGAGGGAAACTTTATTACTTGGAGTTGACCACCAGTAGTTCTAGCTTGCTGACGCAAGCTCTTTCCGTTGATGATTCTCAAGGGGTTACTAATAAAGTGTCAGACATCTGGATGTCGCCTTGGGCATGCTTCCTTTGGTTATCTGCATAAGTTATTTCCTAGTTTGTTTGTCAAGAATGATGTTTCTCAGTTTAAGTGTGATGTTTGTGAAATGGCTAAGAGTCATCGAACCTCTTTTCCTCCCAGTTTAAATAAAAGTACCGTTCCTTTTATGATTGTGCATTCTGATGTATGGGGACCGTCAAAAGTAGCCACTCTTGGTGGTGCTCATTGGTTTGTTACTTTTATTGATGATTGTACCCGCGTGACTTGGGTTATTTTGTTAAAGTCGAAGAGTGAAGTTAGTTCGGCCTTCCAACGGTTTCATAAAATGATTGTTGTACAATACAACAGGAATATCCAGGTTCTTCGCAATGACAATGGGGGAGAATATGTTAATATGGAACTTCGTTCATTCTTCGAGTTGCATGGTATTGTTCATCAGACTACGTGTCCGTATACTCCTCAACAGAATGGGGTTGCAGAAAGGAAAAATCGACACTTGTTGGAAATGGTTCGTGCTTCCCTACTTGTGGCACATCTGCCGCTCCATTATTGGGGAGAGGCACTTACGTCTGCAACTTATCTTATTAATCGCCTTCCATCTCGGACTCAACTTCCATACGCCATTTCAGGCTCTCACATCTCAGACTAGCAGCCCCCCGACTCCCAATCTTCCCCCACGGGTCATCGGATGTGTTGCGTTTGTTCACCTTCATCCACCTCAACGGAAGACTAAACTTGAACCTAGAGCTCTTCGTTGTGTTTTTTTGGGGTATGCTACTACCCAGAAAGGGTATCGTTGTTATCATCCTTCGAGTAAAAAGATGTTTATTACTAAAGATGTGAGTTTTCACAAGACTAAAATGTTCTTTGGTTCCTCCCCGTCCTCACTTCAGGGGGAGTACCACAATGATGAAGTTCTGACTCGCGATAATAGGGATGTGGTGAGCTTGGAGTACACGGCTTCTGGAAGAGGGCAACAACCCACGGTACCTGGAGAAGGGCAGCAGCCAATGCCCGTGACACCTGGAGAAGGGCAGCAGCCCGTGTTTTCTAGGTTTAGTCCTACCGAGCAGCCTACTGAGGAGCAGCCAACAAGTCAGGAAGAGGAGCAGCCCACGGGTCTCACGGGTATTGAGTTGGAAGATGAGATGCAGCCGCCCAATTGCCGTGAAACAGAGCAGAAATTACAGCATGTGTCACGAGATACTACTTCTCATAACCAATCGTCTTCTACACCGGATGCACCTCTACTTCGTCGCCTTCCAGAACGCATTAATAGAGGTATTCCCAAACCCACTTATGAGGCAGATCCTGAGTGTAAACACAAGTATTCCATGAGTGAGCCAAACTCTGATTCCAGAGTGAGATACCCATTAAATCATTATGTGTCTACTTGTCACCTGTCAGAATCAAATAAGTCATTTGTATATCAATTATCTACTGTATCTATTACTAACAGTGTGCAGGAGGCTTTAGCAGATTCCCGCTAGAAAGATGCAATGAACGAGGAATTTAGATCGTTGAAGAAGAATGCTACCTGGGAAATAACTGACTTGCCAGCCGGAAAGAAAATAGTGGGATGCAAATGGGTTTATACAGTAAAATATAAAGCCGACGGAACGGTAGATCGCTTTAAAGCAAGATTGGTGGCAAAGGGGTATACACAGAAATATGGCATTGATTACACTGATACGTTCGCACCAGTGGCAAAGATCAATACAGTTCGTGTTCTACTGTCCTTAGCAGCAAATCTGGATTGGCCTTTGCAACAGTTCGACGTAAAAAATGCTTTCCTCCATGGAGATCTGACTGAGGAGATTTACATGGACCTTCCACCAGGGTGCAGTGATTCGGACAGACAGAAACAAAAGGTATGTAGGCTCAAGAAATCACTGTATGGATTAAAGCAGTCTCCGAGAGCCTGGTTTGGTAGATTTACCAAGTCCATGAGGGCATTTGGGTATATACAGAGTAATTGGGATCACACGTTGTTTCTGAAACACCAGAACGGAAAGGTTACGGCTCTAATCGTGTATGTGGATGATATGGTGGTTACTGGTGATGATCCTGTTGAGCAAGCAGCCTTGAAAAGTTATTTGTCCACAGAATTTGAAATGAAAGATCTTGGTCCTTTGAAATATTTTCTTGGGATTGAAGTATCAAGATGCAAGTTCGGGATATTCCTATCACAAAGGAAGTATGTTCTTGACCTGTTGGAAGAAACCAGTATGACAGCATGTAAGCCGGTGTCTACTCCGTTGGCCGAATGAATGAAGTTGGGTATAGATCAGAACCAAGTACCGGTTGATAAAGGGAGGTATCAAAGGTTAGTAGGAAGATTAATGTACTTGGCTCACACTAGGCATGATCTTGCTCATGCCTTAAGTGTGATTAGTCAATATATGCACAATCCAGGAGAACAACATATGAGTGCAGTTATGAGAATATTGAGTTACTTAAAGGGGAGCCCTGGTAAAGGAATTTTATTTCGGAAAAATGAGCATTTCAGAATTGAGTGCTATACGGATGCTGATTGGGCAGGATCGACGGATGATAGACGCTCGACATCTGGGTATTTCACCTTTGTTGGGGGAAATCTAGTAACGTGGAGAAGCAAGAAGCAGAATGTCGTATCAAGGTCAAGTGCAGAAGCCGAATTTAGAGGCATGGCACTCGGTATTTGTGAACTCTTGTGGCTTAAGTTTCTGTTGCAAGATGTGGGGGTCAAACAAGGTCTGCCTATGAAGTTATTCTGTGACAATAAAGCTGCACGGGATATTGCTCATAATCCTGTGCAACATGATCGGACCAAGCATGTAGAGGTGATCGGTTCTTTATTAAAGAGAAGCTAGATAGTAAAGTAATTGAGGTTTCTCCCATAGGAACGGATGACCAAGTAGCAGATATTCTCACAAAGGCGGTTTCTAGTAACAAGTTCTCCAAATTTCTAGACAAGTTGGGCATGTGCAACATCTATGCACCAACTTGAGGGGGAGTGTTGACTTGTATTAGGATTCCTATAATTGTGGGATTCCTACTGTAATTGGTTTCCTAGTTTAGGATATTATTATTCTTTCCCTTATTCTTTCCCATATCTGTATAGGGTTGTATATATACCTTGTTTTGATATGAAATCAAAATATAATTTAAAGGCATTCTTTCTTCTTACATAACATGCATTTTCTGTTTTCTTAATTCCTGTATTTCCAGTTGAGAGTGAACTCTACAAAATCCATGATTGGTCACCTACTGGGAGCATCTGGTGCTGTAGAAGCTGTTGCAGCAGTACAGGTAACTTACGTGATGTTTTTTACTTGGAAAAACTGTACTATTTTTAGACCTTATATGTAAGACCAAATACAATTCTTGTTTGTTTGGCTTGAAGTGTAGTTCTTGACATGTTATCTTCTTTTTGGGTAGGCGATAAGAACTGGGTGGATACATCCAAATATTAATCTGGAAAGCCCAGATGAGGGCGTGGTACGTTGTCTTCCGTTCCCTTGTAACCCTTTTCTGGTATATAATGTCCAATGAAAGTGTATTTGGAATCCTCTAACTCTGTCAGCACATGAATGCAGGATACAAAACTACTGGTGGGTCCAAAGAAAGAGAGACTGGACGTTAAGGTGGCATTGTCTAACTCATTTGGGTTCGGTGGCCACAACTCATCGGTCTTGTTTGCCCCTTACAAGTAGAAACATAGATCTCAGTGTGCTACTCCAACCTTTGATGCAATCGTACTGCAGGTATGTTTGCATACTGCCACCTTTTTATTAGAAATAAGAAAGAATTGTAATATGTAAACAAATGAAGCAAAGTGTCGGGATTGCTACTCTGTCCGAGAGTTAATATCTTTCAACTTGAAATCAACATAGTAGAACAGTTACGAGCACTGTCACATATTTCTTCAACAATGAAATCAATGATCTTTCTTTCGCCGGATGGGAAATTCAGTCGGAGTGTTACGTGGATAAAACGTCGTGAGCCTTTGGGAAGTGGGTCTTATGGGACTGTGTATGAAGGCTTAACTGAGTAAGTGGTCATCTTCCACATCCAACAACAACAACAACAACAAAGCCTTTTCCCATTAAGTGGGGTCGGCTATATGAATCCTAGAACGCCATTGCGCTCGGTTTTGTGTCATGTCCTCCGTTAGATCCAAGTACTCAAGTCTTTTCTTAGGGTCTCTTCCAAAGTTTTCCTAGGTCTTCCTCTACCCCTTCGGCCCTGAACCTCTGTCCCGTAGTTACATTTTCGAACCGGAGCGTCAGTAGGCCTTCTTTGCACATGTCCAAACCACCGGAACCGATTTTCTCTCATATTTCCTTCAATTTTGGCTACTCCTACTTTACCTCGGATATCCTCATTCCCAATCTTATCCTTTCTCGTGTGCCCATACATCCCACGAAGCATCCTCATCTCCGCTACACCCATTTTGTGTACGTGTTGATGCTTCACCGCCCAACATTCTGTGCCATACAACATCGCTTGGCCTTATTGCCGTCCTATAAAATTTTCCCTTGAGCTTCAGTGGCCTACGACGGTCACACAACACGCCGGATGCACTCTTACACTTCATCCATCCAGCTTGTATTCTATGGTTGAGATCTCCATCTAATTCTCCGTTCTCTTGCAAGATAGATCCTAGGTAGCGAAAAACGGTCACTTTTTGTGATCTTCGCTAGATTGCTCCGGTCATTAGTGTGGATAAGTATATAAATGGATAGAGATAGGAAAGCAAACACAAGATGTACGTGGTTCACCCAGATTGGCTACGTCCACGGAATAGAGGAGTTCTCATTAATTGTGAAGGGTTTACACAAGTACATAGGTTCAAGCTCTCCTTTAGTGAGTACAAGTGAATGATTTAGTACAAATGACATTAGGAAATATTGTGGGAGAATGATCTCGTAACCACGAAACTTCTAAGTACCGGAGTGTGGTATCGTCTTGACTTGCCTTATCTGTCTCATAGGTAGATGTGGCATCTTCTCTGGAAGTACTCTTCCTCCATCCAGGGGTGGTATCTGTAACTGGTGGAGATGCACAAGGTAATGTATCAATTTCACTTGAAGCTTACTTGTAGTTTCAGGCTTGGTCAAGCGCGATACAAACCATGTAGTAGGAGTCCCCCAAGTCGCCGAGCTAGGGGATCTGCTGAAAGAGGTGACAGACAAGGTAAGCAATCAGAGCTCCGGCTGATTGTTCACATTCTCCCTATCTTGCAGGCAGCATGAAGGATAAAGAGAAGAAAAAATGAGAAGAGATGATATGGGATACTTTTGCTTTTGAAGAAGTAACTTTCCACAGGCTTATTCTTGAACTGGGCTGGAGGGTTTTCTGGTTTCCTCCAGAGTATAAGGCCGACTGAAGAATTTGAGGGTCAAAACAAGTCCATCAAATCTAGAGTACGTTCGACCCTGCTGATATGGGATACTTTTGCTTTTGACAGAGTAGTGGATGTATCGGCACGTGTGCTGTTACGCTTGTCTCCACATGCTTCCTTGTATCCTTCTCACTTGCCCTATCTGTTCCTCAGGCAGATGCGGTATCTTCCCTGGAAGCATAAGATGTTGAAGATGAGTACTCGAGAGCAATGCCAGGTAAGTAATCAGGTAAGGGGTTCCAGGCAGTCAGTTCCTGGCTGGAAGCTTGATTCCAAGTGCTGACTGATTGCTCTCTTTCTCCTTGTCTTGCAGGTAAGAACAAGGCCAAAGGAAAAGACAGGGAAAAAGCATGATATGGGATACTCTTGCTTTTAACCCTGATGATATGAGATATTCTTGCTCTAGTATAGCTTGTTTACAGAGGTATTATCGGGGGGAAAGAAAGCTGAATATTTCGAAAGGCTTCGTTGGGAGTGCCCTCTCAGATAAGAGAAAGGGTTGAGCATTTTTGCAGGTCTGCCTGTCCGTTAGGGATGGAGGTCGACATATATAGGAGTCTCCCTAACATCAAGTAATAATGCTATTCCTTTACCCTGCTTGGTCATAGCACGGTAGTGGGAGCTGCCAGCTTCACATGTTTTAACTCTGTCAGAGCACTTTGAAAAAGTGGTCTGTGGTATCTGGAAAGCTGATGTTGCGTGTGAAGATTACAGACAAGCTTTATCCAAGGAGATCCAGCTCTTGAAGTTGGGAAAGTGGTGCCTCTTCGATTTTTCGAACAAGCAATCCTGTCGGGGATCTGGCTCTCGAGATTCGGAGAACGATGCCTCTTCGATTTTTGAGAAAGCAATCCTGCTGGGGGTCTGGCTCTCGAGATTCGGAGAGCGGTGTCTCTTCGATTTTTGAGAAAGTAATCATGTTGGGAGTCTGGCTCTCGAGATTCGGAGGGCGGTGCCTCTTCGATTTTGGAGCAAGCAATCTTGTTGGGAGTGTTTTCTCGAATGTGAGTAAAGGTTGGGCATGTTTGCTAGTCTACCTTGCCACGAAGCACAGAGGTTGACACACAGGGACTTTCCAATTATCCAGCAGTGGTACTGTTCCTTTACCCTCTCTTCGATTTTTGAGAAAGTAATCATGTTGGGAGTCTGGCTCTCGAGATTCGGAGGGCGGTGCCTCTTCGATTTTGGAGCAAGCAATCTTGTTGGGAGTGTTTTCTCGAATGTGAGTAAAGGTTGGGCATGTTTGCTAGTCTACCTTGCCACGAAGCACAAAGGTTGACACACAGGGACTTTCCAATTATCCAGCAGTGGTACTGTTCCTTTACCCTCTCTTCGATTTTTGAGAAAGTAATCATGTTGGGAGTCTGGCTCTCGAGATTCGGAGGGCGGTGCCTCTTCGATTTTGGAGCAAGCAATCTTGTTGGGAGTGTTTTCTCGAATGTGAGTAAAGGTTGGGCATGTTTGCTAGTCTACCTTGCCACGAAGCACAGAGGTTGACACACCGGGACTTTCCAATTATCCAGCAGTGGTACTGTTCCTTTACCCTTGTGGGTAATAATATGGTAGCTAGACCTTCAAAATTTATGTGTCTAAACTTTGTTAGTGTTGTTTCTTTGCTAATTCTTTTACCCTTCTTGGTCAGAGCGATGTAGTGGGAGCTGCAAGCTTCACGTGTCTCAACTTTGTCAGAGAACTTTGGCAAAGTTATCTGTGGTACCCATGAGCTACTGTTGCGTGTGGGAAGTGGGTGATTGAACAGTACGATTCATGTGCTTTCTACTTCGCCAGAAATCTTCGACAGAATGCCCATAATTTCCGCAAAGCTGAGTGTGCGTGTGACAGGTGCTGACAAGGCTGGAAAAGTAGGTGCCTCTTCGATTTCTGAGATCGGCCCTCTCGTGGTCTCTGAGCAGCCCAGCTTTTGAGAAAGCAAGCCTCTTCGATTTCTGAGATCGGCCTTCGTGGTCTTTGAGCAGCCCAGCTTTTGAGAAAGCAAACGCCTCTTCGATTTCTGAGATCGACCCTCGTGGTCTCTCTGAGCAGCCCAGCTTTTGAGAAAGCAAACGCCTCTTCGATTTCTGAGCAGGCGCCTCTTCGATTTCTGAAGCTTCGTCGAGTGCAGATTTTTATAGGGGCTGACATTAAGTTCCAAAGCACACTTGAATATCCACCAGTAGAAGCTCCATTCTTGCACTTCTAAGATCTTGATTTGTCCGACCTCTTCTCTCTTCAACACCTTTGAAAATGTCTGGCCCCTCCGACCGTCGTTTTGACTTGAACCTTGTTGAAGAGGCAGCCCCGCCTTCTCCAGACAACATATGGCGCCCATCCTTCGTCTCCCCTACTGGTCCTCTTACCGTTGGGGATTCCGTGATGAAGAATGATATGACCGCTGCGGTAGTGGCCAGGAACCTTCTCACTCCCAAAGATAACAGACTACTTTCCAAACGGTCTGATGAGTTGGCTGTTAAGGATTCTCTGGCTCTCAGTGTTCAGTGTGCAGGTTCTGTGTCTAATATGGCCCAACGCCTATTTGCTCGAACCCGCCAAGTTGAATCATTGGCGGCTGAAGTGATGAGTCTCAAACAGGAGATTAGAGGGCTCAAGCATGAGAATAAACAGTTGCACCGGCTCGCACATGACTATGCTACAAACATGAAGAGGAAGCTTGACCAGATGAAGGAATCTGATGGTCAGGTTTTACTTGATCATCAGAGATTTGTGGGTTTGTTCCAAAGGCATTTATTGCCTTCGTCTTCTGGGGCTGTACCGCGTAATGAAGCTCCAAATGATCAACCTCTGATGCCTCCTCCTTCTAGGGTTCTGTCCAGTACTGAGGCTCCGAATGATCCCCCTCCGGTGCCTTCTCTTTCTGGGGCTCTACCGACTGCTGAGACTTCTCCTAAGCAACCTTTGTGAAGGCTCCCTCTTGTTTGTTTATTTTGACTCAAGTATATGTACATATTTGTAACTTATCGGGGATATCAATAAATAAGCTTTCCTTCATTTCAACGTATTGTGTTAAATACACCAAAGCCTTCTTCGCTAAGTTCTTTGAATTTTCTTTTGTTGAAGCTTGTATGTTGAAGCTTTGTGAGTGGAGCATGTAGGTTGAGGTAGTGTTCCCTTAATTTCCCGAGTGAGGAAAACTTCTCGGTTGGAGACTTGGAAAATCCAAGTCACTGAGTGGGATCGGCTATATGAATCTTAGAACGCCATTGTGTTCTGTCCTGTGTCATGTCCTCCGTTAGATCCAAGTACTCTAAGTCTTTTCTTAGGGTCTCTTCCAAAGTTTTCCTAGGTCTTCCTCTACCCCTTCGGCCCTGAACCTCTGTCCCATAGTCGCATCTTCTAATCGGAGCGTCAGTAGGCCTTCTTTGCACATGTCCAAACCACCGTAACCGATTTTCTCTCATCTTTCCTTCAATTTCGGCTACTCCTACTTTACCCCGGATATCCTCATTCCTAATCTTATCCTTTCTCGTGTGCCCACACATCCAACGAAGCATCCTCATCTCCGCTACACCCATTTTGTGTACGTGTTGATGCTTCACCGCCCAACATTCTGTGCCATACAGCATCGCCGGCCTTATTGCCGTCCTATAAAATTTTCCCTTGAGCTTCAGTGGCATACGGCGGTCACACAACACGCCGGATGCACTCTTCCACTTCATCCATCCAGCTTGTATTCTATGGTTGAGATCTCCATCTAATTCTCCGTTCTTTTGCAAGATAGATCCTAGGTAACGAAAACGGTCGCTCTTTGGTATTTCTTGATCTCCGATCCTCACCCCTAACTCGTTTTGGCCTCCATTTGCACTGAACTTGCACTCCATATATTCTGTCTTTGATCGGCTTAGGCGAAGACCTTTAGATTCCAACACTTCTCTCCAAAGGTTAAGCTTTGCATTTACCCCTTCCTGAGTTTCATCTATCAACACTATATCGTCTGCGAAAAGCATACACCAAGGAATATCATCTTGAATATGTCCTGTTAACTCATCCATTACCAACGCAAAAAGGTAAGGACTTAAGGATGAGCCTTGATGTAATCCTACAGTTATGGGAAAGCTTTCGGTTTGTCCTTCATGAGTTCTTACGGCAGTCTTTGCTCCTTCATACATATCCTGTTATAGCTTGGATATATGCTACTCGTACTCCTTTCTTCTCTAAAATCCTCCAAAGAATGTCTCTTGGGACCCTATCATACGCTTTTTCCAAATCTATAAAGACCATGTGTAAATCCTTTTTTCCCATCTCTATATCTTTCCATCAATCTTCGTAAGAGATAGATTGCCTCCATGGTTGAGCGCCCTGGCATGAACCCGAATTGGTTGTCCGAAACCCGTGTCTCTTGCCTCAATCTATGCTCAATGACTCTCTCCCAGAGCTTCATTGTATGACTCATTAGCTTAATACCCCTATAGTTCATGCAATTTTGTACATCGCCCTTATTCTTGTAGATAGGCACCAAAGTGCTCGTTTCGCCACTCATTTGGCATCTTCTTCGTTTTCAAAATCCTATTGAAAAGGTCAGTGAGCCATGTTATACCTGTCTCTCCCAAAACTTTCCACACTTCGATTGGTATATCGTCTGGGCCTACTGCTTTTCTATGCTTCATCTTCTTCAAAGCTACAACCACTTCTTCCTTCCGGATTCTACGATAAAAAGAGTAGTTTCTACACTCTTCTGAGTTACTCAACTCCCCTAAAGAAGCACTCCTTTCATGTCCTTCATTGAAAAGATTATGAAAATAACCTTCCATCTGTCTTTAACCGCGTTCTCTGTAGCAAGAACCTTTCCATCCTCATCCTTGATGCACCTCACTTGGTTTAGGTCCCTTGTCTTCTTTTCCCTTGCTCTAGCTAGTTTATAGATATCCAACTCTCCTTCTTTGGTATCTAGTCGCTTATACATATCGTCATAAGCCGCTAACTTAGCTTCTCTCACAGCTTTCTTCGCCTCTTGCTTCGCTTTTCTATACCTTTCACCATTTTCATCGGTCCTATCCTTGTATAAGGCTTTACAACATTCCTTCTTAGCCTTCACCTTTGTTTGTACCTCCTCATTCCACCACCAAGATTCCTTTTGGTGTGGGGCAAAGCCCTTGGACTCTCCTAATACCTCTTTTGCTACTTTTCGGATACAACTAGCCATGGAATCCCACATTTGGTTAGCTTCCCCCTCTCTATCCCACACACACACTGGGTGATTACTTTCTCTTTGAAAATGGCTTGTTTTTCTTCTTTTAGATTCCACCATCTAGTCCTTGGGCACTTCCAAGTCTTGTTCTTTTTTCTCACTCTTTTGATATGTACATCCATCACCAACAAGCGATGTTGATTAGCCACGCTCTCTCCTGGTATAACTTTGCAATCCTTACAAGTTATACGATCCCCTTTCCTCATTAGAAGAAAATCTATTTGTGTTTTTGACGACCCACTCTTGTAGGTGATCACATGTTCTTCTCTCTTCTTAAAGAAGGTGTTGGCTAAGAAGAGATCATATGCCATTGCAAAATCCAAGATAGCTTCCCCATCCTCGTTTCTCTCCCCAAAACCATGGCCACCATGAAAACCTCCATAGTTGCCTGTCTCCCTGCCCACGTGTCCATTTAAATCTCCTCCTATAAATAACTTCTCCGTCTGAGCAATTCCTTGCACCAAGTCTCCAAGGTCTTCCCAAAATTTCTCCTTCGAACTCGTATCCAACCCTACTTAAGGTGCGTACGCACTAATCACATTGATAAGTTCTTGTCCTATTACAATCTTGATTGCCATGATTCTATCTCCTACCCTCTTGACATCTACAACATCTTGTGTCAAGGTCTTGTCCACGATGATGCCAACACCGTTTCTCGTTCTATTTGTGCCCGAATACCATAGTTTAAACCCTGTGTGAATTAAACCCAATCTGAACAGGACTTGTGAATTTTATATTGTTGGGTTTTACAGCTCAAAATTAGGATGATGCAAAAAATTAGGTTTGTGTTACCTATTTGAGTTTGGATTTTGACTTCTTAGTTGGTTTCCTTGGTGGAGAGATTTTGTTAATTACCTATTTTATTAGGATTTGTATTTACTTCCTATTAGGATTCTTATTGTAACTTAAGTCCTATGCACTATAAATAGGACACCAAGACTACCACCACTTTCATAACTAGAGGGACCACCATTCATGGTTATATGATCTCATTTCTAATTTTATAGTTTAGTGTACTGCTATCCATTTACTCACTTCTTTCTTTTTAATCTTTTGCATAATGTATCCATAAAACTTTGAGGTAGTCTGGAAAACCTTTATCCCTACCATTTCCTAGTTTTGTTTTTCATAGTGTAAGCATTCCATTCTACTTTAGGTGTTTCCACTCAAAGTGTTTGGAATTTTCTTAGCAAGAAATTGTAAGGTTAGAAAAAGGATGGAGAACGTGAAGTTGGTATTGCATTAAACTGGGCCTATTCTGTTCAACAAAATTAACATGTTGGTCTCACTCTCTCTGTTTATCTCATGCTGCAAATGTTCTTTTGCAGTGATAAAGTAGCTTGCTATATTTCAATATAATTTAATATATTTATTCAACTCTCCTGATTTGTACACTTAGTTGCTCATTGTAATATTATTACAGGATGAAACTAAGCTCTATATCTTCCTTGAGCTTGTAACAAAAGGCTCACTTGCAAAGTTATATCAAAACTATAACTTAAAGGATTCTCAAGTCTCTGGGTATACAAGGCAGATTCTAAGCGGGTTGACATATCTTCATGAACGTGGCGTGGTTCACAGGTAATGTCCTTTTGGTACTGGAATTTTTGTATTGTGATTTTTCTGTCTTTTGTGGTTACACTGGAAGAGATTGAACCATTGACCTATACTAATCTTAGGGGACAAAACTGTGAACAACTAGTAGAACAAACTATAAGGGAGGGTTTGAAAAATGGGTGAGGGTCTTCCAAATTCCAAGGCATTTAGGCAAAATAAAGAGGAAATGGATCACAAAATGTTTGGTAGGAGGAATTAGAAATGCATTACAAAAGACATAATAGAGGAATTGCAAATGACTATTTGAAATATTTTATATAGGTATCATACACACGAAAATTTACAAGGAATAGAGGGACCGGAACAACATACTTGTCTGTAATTAAAGTACAACGTATAGGCCCCAACAAAGATAAGATACAACTACGTAAAAAATAACGAACCAAACAATCCTTGTTTAACCTACATTTTTATAATTCCCCTGGACATATTTTTTCTGCTTTCTAGACTTACGTGTTGCTTATATTGATATTGAACTTGTAGAAGTTTAAAATTTGTTTTTATTATCTATATTTATGAGATTATTTTTTCCAGGGATATCAAATGTGCTAATATATTGGTGCATGCAAGTGGATCTGTGAAACTTGCAGACTTTGGGTTAGCCAAGGTACAATTCCTAAATGTATATTCATAGAATTTCCAATGCTGAATCATTCCTTATTGGCATTCTGTCTTTCTAGGTGACCAAATTGAATGAATTGAAGTCTTCCAAAGGGACTGCTTATTGGATGGCCCCTGAGGTTTGCCTCCTCTCTTTACAGTAAATGTGTGTTTGTACACATCGGATTGATATCTCAACAGCTGCCTTTACATAGTAATACTAGTATGATGTGGAGTAATTCATCTAGTTGTGATTATCCACGTAGTTAACTCTTTGATGTACACAACTTAATTTTCATCATTTACCTTGCAATAGTATAATTGGGAATAAGTTGCTCCGAGCATGTTGTTCCAGTACGCTGTAAAATTGTAGGTTGTTAATCAAATGAATGGTGGCTATGGGCTTGCAGCTGACATATGGAGCCTTGGATGCACTGTGTTAGAGATGTTAACCCGCCAGCCTCCGTACTTTCCCCTGGAATGGGTATGTTCAACATTTCTGCACATATAATGCTAATCTTTTACTTTTTCTTTAGGATAAGAAATGCATAAAAATATGCCCACATCACATTTTGACCTAGATCATTGGACGTAGGAGCCAACCTCATCCCACACATCCCCCACCGTGTGATTGTACCTGGATCATCTTACTTGTACTCAGCCTTGTGCTACCTATTCACAATATGTTATTTACTCTTCCATGCAAGTAACTAGAATCCTTAATCAAGAGTCATGGACCTATGTTTACCCCTTAACCTGTATCCGGCTATTTCTTCTCAGACATCAGTGACCACTAGCACTAGGGTAACCTTAGTTTTCTTAATCAATTTGGACCGTCACTCATGCGAGAAGGCTAAGACATTTTATAGACGCGGCAGATCACTAAGTTGTCGCCTCTAGAGTCATTTAGGAATCTGACAAGAATCTTATTCTTGTTTGTGATGATTGGCAGATAGCAGCATTATTTCAGATTAGCATGGATAAACTTCCTCCAGTTCCTAATTCGTTATCAAGAGATGCAAAAGATTTCATTTTGAAGTGTTTACAAGTTGACCCTAATAGCCGACCCACAGCGGCTCAGCTATTGAACCATCCATTTGTTGAAAGGCCACTCCACGCTTCCTCTGTCCCAGCTTCTCATTGCAACAGTTTACGTTCGTGAATGCTTTGGTCAACCAACCTTCAGTGATATTGTTAGGTAATATAGAGGAACTGGTTAGTGATTGGATCTATATACGCTCTCAAGCCATGGTAGAACATTAGCTTCCACGAACGTGGTTTGGGGAAGGGGATATGCTTCCAATATTTTCACAAAGATGAGAATGGTTTGCTAATCAAACGAAGCACCTCTTGGTCCTTGTGTGTGGATCTGCACTACTAGGGACGTGACGGACCAGAGAAACTTAAAAGCACGTTTTGTAGATTATGGACTTTGCTGTAAAATACGTTTTGTAAACCTCCTGATGGATATAACTCAATCGAATATGAGACTCGGTGGATCTGTTTGATAACTATTTTGTTTTAGTTTTCTTGTTAAAAATAGAGGGGCAAGATCTAAACAAGACCTGAAACTTGAACCTCATTCTCATGTTAGATTAAAAATAGAATAAAAGCCCAAAGTTCATCTTATTGATGATTTTCTAAGGGGTATATAATCTGATTAGTATAACTCATGAGAACAGTAACAAACAAAGATATCCAATTCGATGAAATATATGGCATAAACTTTGTACATACTGTAAATACGGCTCTCATACAATACTCGTTTGGAAACACGTCACTCTAAGAAACTTAGAATACCATCTGATTAGTAGAACTAATCAAAATTGTAACAAAGCTCAAATGATAAAATGAAGATGGCAGTTAATTATCTATCAGATGAAATCACGGTACTTTCAGCATGAGAGTATAAAACCGGTAAGCAGCTGTTTCTGAGACATTTAGACTGCACATATTCTTTGTACTTGGAGACTGAATCCATTAGCGAACTTCTGAGTTTCTTCTTCTGTTTGTTTGATTGCATCCTGCAATTTCGGTTTGGAGGTCTGCAAGAAAAATGAGATTGGTTATGATATCAAACTTAACAAAATCCTAGTTAAGGATTTTCATATGGCATAACAAATTAATCACTATAACACGTTTAAGAATAAAAAAAACAACTTGAAGTTAATTATTCAAGAAATAAGTCAAACAAAAACCTTCAGAATCTTGTCTGCTTCTCCTTCCACAGTATCCAAGTTACGAGTCTGCCTTTGAACATCTGGAATTGTAGTCCTGTGTCTCTTTCTTCAACAAGTTCAGTTGAGCTTCAACTAACGGGTGAATTATACACAAGTAAAAGATAAGGTCAAAACAAAATCCTTGTAAAATTGTATTTCTTTCTCAAAGTCCAAACCATACCGGAGCAATAACCATAAGATGCTTCAAAAGTAAGGGTGGTTTCCAAAAGTCCCACCATAGGATCAATAACCTTTACAGTCGATATTTTACTTTGTATGACATACACCAGAGCCCTCCAAAACTAATGTGCTCCCTCAGGCTGCATTTATTTTGCCTGCCACCGTTGAAACTTCTGAAACCAGATTGGTTTCCTCAAGCGGTTCATGTTTTTTGGGGTCTTTCTCCAAACATGAAGCATAATAGGTTTGCCGTCATCCAAAAGCAACCTTTATGTAGTTTGTGTTCGAAAAGCAACCTATGCACTATAAATAGGACACCAAGACTACCACCACTTTCATAACTAGAGGGACCACCATTCACGGTTATATGATTCTCATTTCTAAATTCCTAGTTTAGTGTACTGCTATCCATTTACGCACTTCTTTCTTTCTTTCCTGGTTTGCATTTCTATTTGGTTCCGGCCAGTTTATTAGAAGTACAACTTTCTACATATTGAGGGAGATTTATCTTTTCCTTTTGCATTTGTTCTTGTTTTTTGTAGTTTGTGCATAGGTATTTGTCCTTGTATGTGTGTACAACTGTACATGTATTTGTACAACCATAAAACAATAAATTAAAGAGATGACCAATGCAACTACTCAAGCTGCAATCATAAGATAAAAGTAGCTTGCTATATTTCAATATAATTTAATATATTTATTCAACTCTCCTGATTTGTACACTTAGTTGCTCATTGTAATATTATTACAGGATGAAACTAAGATCTATATCTTCCTTGAGCTTGTAACAAAAGGCACACTTGCAAAGCTATATCAAAACTATAACTTAAACGATTCTCAAGTCTCTGGGTATACAAGGCAGATTCTAAGGGGGTTGACATATCTTCATGAACGTGGCGTGGTTCACAGGTAATGTACTTCATGAAAGGAAAATGGCATTTATCATAATTTCCTTACTATAGCATTATCACTAGCAGGAGCCGTCATCCAACGATCATCGCATTACATGGTGAACAATCATCAAATTTTCATCACGTAATCCATGCAACTGAATTCTAAACATATAACTAAAGCGTAAAACTTGAAGTTCATGCATGAAAGAAATTAAGAGCTTCAGCTAACTAACCAAACAATAAATGGATAAACTGTAGTAAAGATCAAAACCAGCAATTTAAGCAAAAGAAAATCTCAAGGATTGAAATAGGTGGTGCTCACAGGTCATTTGGCTTCGGCAGCCTCCAATTCTTCCCTGACCTTATCAAACATGGAAAGCATCAAAGAACGCATGTTGGCAATCTCTACAAGTGCGTCAAGTGCAGATTCAAATGAGAGTTGTGCTGCCCGTAGCTTCGGCGAAACCAAACCACCAAACATCAACAGTGATTTAGTCCGCTCCTTCTGAAGTTGATGTTGGTGAGCAGTTTCAGCTTTAAGTGGGGGTGGAGGTCCATCCTTATCCTTTCGTTGTCGTATCTGTGGACTCATATTCATAAGTGGAGCTCCATTGTCATTGTCGGAGGATGCCCATTTGCGCAATGTAAAATGATGAATTTGCTCTGTTTCAGTATCAGATTGCTGGGTTACTTGCAGAAATGTACTTGCATTGTGCGATTTCAGGTCCAACAAAGCACTGCTCACGCATGACTCACCCATAGAATGTCGAGCACTTGCTAATTGCAACCACCCCTGTTAGTGTTATCCCTATTCCATGTTAGTATAACAATTTAAATTAAAAGTATACAAATAAAAATAGTATGATTTAAGCTAATTTTACCTGCCGAAGTGTCCAGGACAGTGAATCCAATAGGGTTAAATACCCGTCTATTGAATCCAGGAATTGCAATGAATTTTCATTCAATTCAGAGAATGCAATTTTATCTCGTCCTTCCAAGCTCAGTGATTTAGGGTCTTCTTCCAAGCTGAGTGATTTAGGGTTTTCTTCCAAGCTGAGTAATTTAGGGTTTTCTTCCAAGCTGAGTGATTTAGGGTCTTCTTTCAAGCTCTGGGATTTAGAGTCTCCTTCCACATTCTGCGATTTATAGTCTTCTTTCAAGCTCTGTGATTTAGGGCCTCCTTTTTCCAAGCTCTGTAATTTAGGTTCTTTCAAGCTGTGCGGTGTGGGGTCTTCTTCTAAGCTCTGTGACATAGAGCCTTCTTTCAAGCTCGGGGCGTTATTGGCTTGTTCTTCCAAGCTTTGTGATTTAGGGTCGTCTTCTTCCAAGTTCTGCAATTTAGGTTCTTCTTCCATCGAGAACTTTGGATTCAATACGAAAACCCCTCACTTTTTTCAGTCATAAGCCATCACTGTCACTGAGCTTTCTGAACAATTGGGTCATTTAGTCAGTGACATTACTAAAATTCAACTCACCACAACTAAATTCATTTATGTTTTATATTTTTGGGCCAAAGATACTATCCTAAAAAACAAAACAAACTGATAAGGCATACAACTAGTTTAGATAAACAAATCTAACACCAATGACTAAAGAAAGTGAAAATAAAACAAACATGATATAGGAGCTCAATTCTTTCAGATAAAGATTGGAGTGAGCTAAGTGCAGCATTTGCACCAAATCATCAATGGTATCAATATTCTTCTTCTTCTTTCAACTACAGTCAGTAAGCACCAGCGCAAATTCTTAGAATAAAGATAACAAACATGAGAAGCAAGAAAACAACACATATTTATTTAGGCCAGCCATTGGAAGGAGAATTTTAGGGTCTGTTTGGTACTCTACTTGAATCCAACTTTTTAAACTCAAAAACAATTTTCAAGTTTTAAGCCTTAAAAACTTGTTTGGTATGACTATTTTCAAAAATTGAATTCAAAACTAACTCAAAAATATAGTCTATTCTCTAAAAACATAAAAGGTGAGTTTTTAGAGTCTTTAAACTTAAACTCACTATTTTCTTTTCTCTCCCTCCTCCCCTCTCAACTCCAAATCTATGTCTCTCCTCTTTTTTACCTTTTCCTTCTCCCCTCCAATTTACTCTCTTCATTTTCTCGATTCTTTCTCTTACTCATCTTCCTCTCTATCTCGTCCGACCCTCTCTTCTTTCTCTTTCCTTCCATCATCTCTTACTTTCTTTCCTTTTATCTCCTCCTTCTCCCTCTCATGCAACCCCCTCTTTTTAGATCTCTTATCTAATTTAAGTCGTAAGATTTAAAAATTTTAAATCGCAAACCAATCAAGTTTTTGAATCTTAAAGAAAATTGTTTTCAAGAAATGTTCTTAAGAAATGTTTTGAGAAATGACAAAAAAATTCAAATAGGATACCAAACAGGCCTTAAAGATTTTCAATAAGTTTGAGCTCTTATAGGCTCCAATCTAGGTAAAGGAAAGCAGTACAGTTGTGGTTTTTTTTATATATATTTTTAGCGCTAATCTGCCGCAATTTATCTACCTCCAACATAAATTATATACTTTGTAAACTATTTCATATTTGTTTCCCTTCTTTCACTCACCTTGACCCACCATCATACTCTATGAGTTTGACCCACCATCGTACTCTATGAGTTTGACCGCAGTGCTCAAGTAACACCTATACGACTCACAACTCTTCTACGTGAACTAACTTGAAAAATGTTACCATGAGAATCGGAAGAGAACATCTGCACTAGTAGTTAACACATACAACCTTTGCATACCTCAGTTTACTTGTAATTTTGAACTGACATCGAAGGATAACGTTGAATCAATAGGATCACTGCCTCCTCAGCAATCTGTTGATAAATGAAAACAAAAATGAATAGGATTATACATTGAAGGACCTATAAAAGCATCTCTCTCTTAAATTCCCTCTCTATCTCCACCAGTTCTTGATTTTAAAAATGTTTCAAGACACCGTAGGCTGCAACTTTAACCCAAACTCCATCCCAGTAAATCTAACCAAATTAAATTCGTTAGGGTAACTGCAGAATGAGGTTTTCATCGGCCAGGAGAAAAAATAAAAAACTAAAACGAACTGAAACGAGGCAATTTGTGAGTTTCTAGGGTTCTAAATGATGCGAAACTTAAAACGAAACTTAGAGATAGAGAATTCAGATATATGACTAACGTATTAACAACCAGAAATCGCAGCCTCAAAATTATGAAATCGTAGCCTCCAATATTCAAAATCGCAGTCTCAAACCTCTGAACTCGAAGCTCCAATATTCGAAATCGCAGCCGCAAATCTCTGAAATCATAGAAATACAAATTATTCATGAAATCAATCCAATCAGTTCTTCGAAAACGAAATAAAAAACAAATTCAGAAAAATGAAAAAGAAAAAAAGCGAATCGAAACAATTCAATCCAATCATAAGAAATGATTCAAAATTACCTCGGATCTCAACAGACCAAAACCCTAACAGAGTCCTCTGCAGATCGAATAAGGATTGGACTAGTGGGAAACGAGTCGAAATTGTATTGAAAGTAAAATATCTCTGAAATCGTAGCTTCTAACCTCTAGCTCATATCAAAATCGACGGAAAAGCCATGGAGAGAGCTTGACAAGTTGGACAAAGAGAGCTCGACGAGTTCGAGAGCCGGAGAATTTGTTTTTTTCTTGGTTAATATATATACAGTAGATGAAACAAAATGTGAGCGTAAATATACAAGTTTTTTTTTTTGGAAAATATAGGGAAGGTAGAGAAGTTATAGAGAAATGTGATAGAGAGAAATGGAAACAAGTTTAAAAATTCACCTCTCCCAGACCTTGCGTAAAGTTTATGTGTCAGTTTATATTGCGTAAGACAAACTAATAACATGCTGGCAGAAGTTTGGCACAGTAACCTCCAAAAATGAAAAATTCAGAATGCATGAACTTGTAGAGTCAAATACCAAACATGTGTAATAGAATTCATGTCACTCACAAAACTACAAAGCTATACAAGTAAATCAAAACACGTGCTCCCAAAAAGAAACTATTAGCAATTCAAATACAGGGATTCATTAAATTTCACATAAGTAATTCAAGACAACATGAAGAGTTAATATCATGGAGTGAGACACTTCAGTCTACCGTATACGCAGAAGCATATTATAAATGAACCAAGGGAACGGTAAAAGATGCAAAAGTTGGTCCTAGCTAACACTCACTAATGTCTTTGAAGAGTTGCATCCCAGCTTTTTGCTCAGATTTGAAGGTGCGGGGTTACAATTCAAAAAGCTAAGGACCTGAAGATACACCAACTAAACTAAAGCAACTGGCTAAAAAGCCTACATTCCCCCATAACAGCTATGGGCATCTTTATAATCCGCAACATAATAAAAATGAATAAGGGATATAGAAATAAAAAACAGTAGCAGTTCAGGGGAAGTACACTCGTGAAAGAAGGATTCTCAGTACAAGATGCCACAAATTCTCATAATCCAAAAAATTTGAATTGGTAATGAACCCCCAAATTAGAGAAGACGCTAAGGTTGGATCACAGAACATAAATGCATGAGGAAAGTTTTGAAAAACTTTTTGGTCAATACAACCAAAACTCATGGCCACTCATTCAGATATCCAAGAGAATGGTAAAGAAAAGAAAACAAAATTATGACAGTTCTGAATTTGGGTTTCAAAGTACAAACCTGCAGTTTGGTGCTTCAATCAGCAAGCTGTTAATATCTTAATGAATATTAACAGTACTATGATGATCTTATGTTTTCAACCACCCAAAAAAAATTTAAAAAGGAAGAAACAACCAAAACAAACCAGTGGAAAAGCTACTGGAATGACTCAATTTCGATAGCAAGCAGAACACTAGCACAACAATGTAAACCTATGACTCAAATTCTACACTAAATTCATGCATTTTTCAAGTTTCATCAGCATTTGGTCAGGGGATTCTATGAGAATGCAAGGGAGATGCCGACCGGATTAGGAGAAATTCATGTGACACACAAGACAACATTTCCCTTCGGTGAATGGAAAATAGTGGAGTTAGCTTATATGGCTGGATTATATTTGGTTCATGAAGAACAATTCTCGATATGGGATTATCCAGAAAACCAAGAAAAATCATATCAATACGTTTTTTTAACAAAATTGAAAGAGAAAAAAAAAATTGCAGGGCCTCCAAGTAAATTCCAGATAAACCCATCACTCCAAGTAGATTCCAAGTTCGAGATTTCCATACCTCGAACCGAAGGTGGCTAATTCTAAAGAAATTTTGCAACATTTTCCCCCAATTTTCCCAATAGTTGCCTAATTCTAAAGAAACCCAATAAACCCAGCTGCAACAGACCTCCAAAACCACCAATAAAAACACAAAATTGACCAATTATACAAACAATCAAACATTCATGCAATTCAACACAAACAGATAATACAGAAAACAAGAGAGAGAGAGTTACAGAAAATTAAATCCGAAATCGAGTCACAAATATGCAAGGTGAAATGGGTCTCTTCGAATTGGATTGAGGAATTGCAGTCTCCAAGACCCAGAAACTCGAAAAAAGGGATTACCTGTTCGTCTTTATCCTTGGTAGTTCGTTGTTGGTGAGGCGCAACGCCGGATCATGGTCTGCGCAGCACAGCTCAGACCTCCATCGCGGCACAGGAACTGAACTCGTTAAAAAAAACCCTGACTTTTGTTGTTTTCAAATTATAATGGGCTGTTTTTAAAAAAAATTTAAGTCTAGTTTTGCAAAATGGGCCTACCAAACATGTATTTTTACCTTAAAACTTAAAAATTGTTTTTGAATTAAAAACTTTAGACTCAAATCCAATATCAAATAAGCCCTTAGATATATGTTAGGTTAATGTGGGTGGGTGAAGGAAAAAAAAAACGTAAAAATTTTGTTTATTCAAAATTACGTTACTATTATGATTTTATTTTGTGATAAAAGATTACATTTTTTTTTTGAGAGAGAGATTTTGTTAACATGTAATTTAGATAAGACTACATATTTTTTAAGAGAGACTAAGTTTTTTATTTATTTGAGAGAGAGATTAAACTTATTCACGTGATATGCGATGTCATGATTATTTTTTAGTTGCTTTTCCGTTAACAATTTTACTCTAATCTCTATATTCTTATTTATACGTTTTAGTTTTATGTCCTTTTTTTTTCTTCTTGGTCCATTTCTATCTCTCTTTCTTCTCCTTCCTACCCATGTCTCTCTTTCTCTCTCTCCACCTTCTTCTGTGTATTTTTCTTTCTCTTCTCTCTTCGTACTTCTCTCTATTCCTCCTCCTACATCATTATCTTTACTAGTACTGAAAATTTTGAAACTGATCTTTTCAAAGTGTTGGAATTTTAAAATTGATCTTGTAGAAATTTTGGAATTGATCTTACAAAAGTGCAAATAAAATTTGAAAGTAATCTTGCAAAAGTGCATGAATTGTGAAATTGATCGTTCAGAAATGCATAAATTAATTTTTACGGATCTAAAATCAATTAAAAGTTTTTATAGATGGTGTCACTTTATAGTTTTGGTCTGGTTAACTAACAAGTCTATTGAGGCCATGGTTGGAATTTTAAAATTTTGGTTTGCTTGTTTTTTTGTTAGGTTTGTTGAGGTTTGAGTTTTTGTCTCTTCTTGAAATGATTCAAAACTAGTGAAGTTCTATGAAATATATTTTGTGTTTTAGTGTACAGAGATTTGGCAACCATTGTGTGTATTGCAAATTTTAAAGTGTGGGGCTAATGCTGGAGCTCCATCATGTTTATATGTTTATGAACTTAGCAGGACTGTGAATTTGTTGTTTATCTTTCTCCAAGGGTTAGAGAATGCCTCATTTCAACGATCAATCCCTCAACCTCATCGCCCATATATGCCGCCAAGCGAATGAAGCAGCACACCGTCTAGCCCGCTCGACACTTCTTTGTAATGGATTTTGTTCTTAGTTTGAAGAACCTCTTGATCTCTCTTTTGTGTATATCTCTTCGACCATTTGGTCTTTCAATGAATTTCAAAAATAAATAAATAAATAAATAAAATTCGGTAATCGTTGAAGATTGGAGGTTGCATTGAACGTTTCTCACCCTTGACTTTGTCACATTGATATCGCGATCGCATACATTATCTGACATGCACGTAGTATATATAATTGTTGTCGGTGGAAATATAGGGGAAACCATGGCTGTAGCTGTGAAATCTACTGAAGAATTAACAAGACAGAGGCGAGTGGTTGTGACAGGAACGAGTGTGGTGACCCTACTCGGTCATGATTCTGATGTTTTCTACAATAATTTGCTTGAGGGAGTTCGTGGCATTAGTCATTAGTGAGATAGAAGCTTTTGATTGCACCCAGTTTCCAGCAATAGAAGTCATGGAGACGTTAGATAAAGCAAAATGTGTGGTTTTCATTGGCTCAACAATGGGTGGCATGAAGGTAAGCCCAGTGTTCTGTGGCTTAATTTTATGTACACTTTTCGCGGAACATTGAAAGATCTTTCTACCGGTTTGTCTTCAATTTGATGTTTTTAGCAAGCATGGTTTAGAGTTTGTAATCGACCAAATGTCATTTTTGGTGGAGATGCACGAAAACTAGTTTCTCTGATTTCAGAACTGGACTTGTTTATGTTGTTTATCTGTTAATTTAAGACACTGTATCAGTAACCCTCTCCTGTAGTAAAACATCTTGTAAACGCAAAAGATTATTTTCACAGAAATTAAATTCCAAGCCAGATAATCTCATAATGCTCCACAAAATCTGATTTTGGGACAAGCAGCTTCTGTACTTTGAATTCGGCAAATGATATCATTAAAGCCAAAGCAGTAAGTATTCCTACAAGCAGCTTCTGTACTTTAAGTATATTATAATAACTGATATACAATTTTCTTTGAAATCTTACGCAGGACTTTATGCTCTGTGGGGGTTCAGATTCAGTGATGATACCTCTTGGTTTTGCTGCCATTCTTTGCAAATGTTATTTCTTAGTTTTACTCGGAGTTGCACGTACAATAATCTTGTTCTTATGCAATTACTGGAGGAATGGGAGGCTTTGTGGCATGCAGAGCACTGTCACAAAGAAACAATGATCGACCAAAGCATCACGCCCTTGGGATAGTGTAATGCGTCCAATAACTATGTTAGATTCATTTATTCTTTTATTTCCAATATGCACATGGTTCAAGCTTGTCCTTCCTCTTCAAATCCCCACCAGCCTTCTTGCTGGCATACTCTTTGCGTAACATTTCTAGACCATCAGATATGATCCAACGAACACTACTAGCTACCAAGATCATGATTGATGCAAAGTGTAGTTATCTAAACATTGCAATATGAACATCACATACAACCTACCGTAATGAAGATGCTTTAGATTTGAACTGTGTGGAAGCCTTGCCACGCCTGCCCGAGATTGTTTTGGCATCCATATAATCTGCATTGCTATCCTCGGTTTCTTCGTCATCAAAATCAGAAAAGATTTTTGTATGTTTCCACCTGCTTAGCCTGAAAAGAAGATAGAAAATAACAATATGTTAGAGAACATGAAGATTACAAAATATATATATATATATATATATATATATATATATATATATATATATATATATATGCATATGAGTTAAAAATGAGATGTAAAAATTTCAATGGCAAATACATACATGATACATATGTGATATGTCTTTACAATAAGAATAAATAAGCAAACATGCGAGTTGTGCTCACGCATGTATTTAACTTTTAAATTATGAAAGAGTGAGACCTGGATGTATTTGCTTTGGACACTTGAGATCTAGCTTCCTCAGATTTAGAACCCATCTTCTTCTCTTTTCGTTCCTTGAGCTGTGTTCAACAAGAAAAGGGAAGATCAGAAACTAGTAGTAAGTACCCCTGGAATATTCACTCTAGCAGATGCCTATCGACAAACCTTCCGTATGTTCGTAAGTAGTTTCATATGCTCTTGAGGCATCACAGCCTTAACAGCATCAAGCCCACATTTCTTGACGAGCATTTCTAGAAGAAGTTTAACCTGAAAAAATATTTGGTTTTGAACAGCAAGTGATAAGAACTTGGGGAAGTTCATTAAACCAATTGAACTCAGTGTCTGAATAGTGTCACAAACATACTGACAAGGAAACACCTTGGCTTTGAAAAGGGTTTTAGTAGCATCTTGCCACTTCAGCAAGCCTTCCACCATACTTTTCAAATGCAACTGCAACCCCTCGGCTTGTGATTTGGCTACTAATACCTTCAACAAGCCCAAATTAGCCTGCAAAAAAGAAATAACAAATAGGTCAATGATTTATCAAGCAGTGCACTCAAAATAACTGATAACGCCGAAATGCTGATCCAAAAGAGAAGGGAACAAACTTTAATTATTTCTTTGTTCTTTCTCTGAAGGTGGAGAAATGTGGATGGGAGTAAATTGCTGGCACTTGAAACAAGGTCAGAAAACTCATAAGCCAACCTAGCTAAGCCCTTCATCGCAGCACTGATCATTTGAGGAGTTTCACCAGCTAGCCCCCCAGCTACCTGTGACCATAAGATTAAGCTTAGACATGCTGCAAATTTATATCAATTTCTGCTTTCCCACAGAAGACCAATTATAGCCAAAAGAATATCAGTAAAAAACCGCAGCAGTGTCTGAAACAATATCTAGTACCATGTTAAAAAACTGCTGCAGGTTTTCTCTCTTCCCGCCAGTCTCCTCATCTCCACAAGCATGGCCAATTTGGACAAGGAGACTGCGAAGTCAGGTAGAAGTGAGACTGCCAAGTCAAATAGTTGTGCCCTGCAGTTAAGATCGAAGAATTAATGTCAGGTCAGCTATAAAAACAAAAATGAAGAACTAAACATAATAGACATAAAAACAAAAAATAAAATAAAATAAATAAATAAAAGATGTACCTTGTGGTATTAGAATCTCTAGAACTTTCTGCTTTCCTAGCCTCTTCTGTAACCTTTAAGAGCTTCATCAATGTACTTCTAAAGTACCTTGATACAACTTCTTTATCTGGTATTGAAGCGAACTCACCAATTGTGGACTGTAAAAGGTGCAAAAATAATTATTTTCAACTTCACAAAATACTAATCATGCAAAATTTATCAACAAACAAGCATCTAGCAAAAATTGTATTCTTCATGCTCAGAAGCCAACACATCTGCCAAAATCAAAGAAAAAACACGACAGAACTTTTTGAGTTTTGCTTTCTACAATAGAACAGATATAGACAGGAACTTAGACGAAGATTTCTTTAACGAATAAGAAGGTAAAACATACGCAGCTAAAGTCAATGGAGGACAAAACATTACATACCTTTAAGCGCATTGAATACAAGAGGGAGTTTAACTACACGTATTTGCCTATTAAGGGAATAAACTTTCCCCATTCCAGTACCAAGCAAGCGAGCTGTAAATGTCATGCCATCCACAGACGTCTCATTCGTAGAGACAGATAGAGCTAATGAGCATAATAGATCGAGCAACACTTCAGGAGAAACGTCTGCCGATGGATTGAGACAAAGTATATTCAAACTATCTGTTATGCGCTTTGTAACAAGTGGTTGGCGCAGTTCCAAAAGAGTTTTGTAGTACTTGAGGACGTTGGTTTTGCACTTGATTGACACAAGAAACAGGCACTCTTTCAAAGCATCCAAAACATACAAGACTTCCTGGGCTCCCTTGGGTCCTTCACTC